ACTGACCACAGCGCGCCTGCATACAGTGAATCTGGGAGGCCTTTGGCGTTCGCTATAGCCGTAGTGAATATTCGCTGTGGCGGGGTGGATTTGTGTGGCGAGCGATCGGGGGTAGCGGCGGCGTTCGCTATAGGCAGGGTTTTCGCTATTGCGGGGTTCGCTGTAGCGAGGGAAGACTGTACTGTAGGTGGTTACGCAGCTGTTGGTGCCGCTGATTGTACAACAACAATGGCATAGCCCTTCCACCGCCACACCGCAAGATGGGTAGCTGGATGCACGGGCTTGTTGCTAGCCAGCACCAACAGAGAAATCGCGCAATCGCGAGCATTGCTACCTACCTGTAACTGTACCTGTGTGCTAAGGGTCTGCCTGATGCTGCTCGCCGCTTGACTGACGCTTTCAGCACTTTCATGGCAGTTTGCAGCAGCTGTGTCCCTATCAAATGTGAGTAGTGCAGATCAACACCAACCAATAATTGGTGTATGATACCCGGCCTGCAGCAAGCGCCGTGCACCTGCGTGTAGCAGATATGCCGCACACGTATACTCCGTTTCCATGTCAATTCTTGTTGGTTGTTGGTTGGTTGGTGCGATTAAAAGTGAGGTTTGGTGCGATAAAAAGTGAGGTGGTCAAGGGTCGAGTAGTCGTTGCCAAATCCAATACAACCGCGCAGCAATAAAATTGCGAACCTCCAGGGCGACATCCGCGCTGCTGCGATCATCGATCATGTGCAAGGACCCTGGCCGGAGCGGGAACAGTGCTGCTTGAGGGATGGGGGTTAAAGCTGGTGCTGCATAAACAGATGTGACGCTGACGCTGCTACAGCGGCAACTCTGTGGAGAAGGAGGCAACGGCGGCAGGCAGGCGCTGCAACCTGCAGGTTTTGCTGACAGGTACGTGGCGATCACATCCCCAATCACACACCCTGTGGTGGCCCCACCTGGCAGTGTTGGCTCAACACACACCCGAGAGCGTATGGGGTGCAAATGATGAAGATGTACACAAGCCTTCAAAGCTTGTGCACACGTATGTGTGTGTGGGTGGGGAGGGGCGTGCGTGCGCACGCGCACGCGCTCACCAGTCGCATAAACAACCCATTTACAGGATCGATCATCCTCACGGGTCGTCGGCGTATCTTCCAGCTGCCACTGATGTGTGCCCGTGACGTTGCTGAACGGGCATCACAGCTGCAAAGCCAGCTTCCAGCTCTCCTCGCCTTCAGTCAACAAACCCAGTGCGGCTGCGTAGCTGACGTGCCTTTCGCGCGCGTGCGGCGTCATTCAGCGCAGCAGCAGGCACGTGAATTCCTGGGCCGCATACTGCCTTCTGCAATGCGACGGTATGCCCTGGGTTTGGGAGGGCAGGCGAGGCTACCAGGACCTTCTCAGTGGGACTTCCTCCTTCATAATCAGCAGCTGCACTCACCCAGCCGATTCCACACCGCCATGCCTAGCATCAACTGCTCTTAAGGCCACGATCCCGGCAACGTTCGTTCGCTTACGCATGTGGAATCGATATCACCCGTCAACCGTAGCATCAGGTGCGGGATGGAACCAACCCGATGGCGTATTCGCACGAGAGGGGCCCTGCGGTGCCGGACGGTGCACGGGGGCATCAAGCCGCCTTTTGTTGGCATAGTCGGCCTATATCATGCTTTGAGCCGTTTCACGGCCGTGGCCGGACGGGCATCCAGATCCACGCTGGCTCACACCTTCCAGCCCCCCCCTCTGGCACCCCGCGCTTGGGTGCATTGCAGGGAAAATGTCCCGCTCCACCACTTCGCTGCTCCTGCTCGGTGCGGCGCTGGCCGCGCTGCTTGCAGCCGCAGCTGCTGCCGATTGCGCCACCGGCATCTCCCTCCCGGGATGCCAGACCTGTGTGAAGCTGACGGAGGCTGAGCTTGCCGCAAGGAAGGACGCCTGGAACGCCAAGAAGGCTGCCTGGGAGGCCAAGAAGGCCGCGAGTGGCCAGCCTCTCGCCTCGCCGTCTGTCAAGAAGTGGGAGGGCAAGAAGACCGGTCCTCGGTGGGAGGCCATGCAGTACAAGTGCACGGCCTGCGTTGATACAAAGGCGTACCAGCTCCAGAAGGATCGTTGCGGTGAGGGGGGTGGTTGAATGGGGTGTGCGAACCACTGCCCAATGGGTTCCTTGAGCATGAACAGCAGTGCAGCTACGAGGCTGGTTTGAGCACAGCTGAGTTTGGGCACGGCCTCTACCTTTGGAGTGCGGGGGTTGTAACTTATGACAGTCACAGTTGTCGCTTGACCGACACTCCAAGTCCGCCTGGTTAATCTGATGCTCAGGGTCACCACACTCCTCTCCTCACCCCTCCTTGTCCATTGCTGCCCACCAACCACAACAGTGTGCACGCCTGGGTATGGCATTGACTTTCCGGTGAAGCAGGCCGACGGCACTCGGTCCAAGCCCAGCCTCGAGTGCAAGCCCTGCGCCGACGGCACCGCCAGCGGCCCCGATGCGCCCAAGCCCCCCAGGCGTGACTGGACGACGAAGAACGCCGCTCCCTCCGGCACCACCGGCACCGCCGGCCGTCACCTTCTTGGCAAGGGTGGCCACCACTCCATCTGCGTCAAGTGCCCCAACGGCAGCAACGCCGACCACACCAAGTGCCTGTGAAGCCTCTGGTAGCCTCATCAAGAACGTCTTCGCCGCGTGCCGTCCTGTGGGCCCCTTTGCAGCAGCCCAAGCAGCTGGAGGGGACCCAGCATTTTGCCGCGCGCGCCTGCCCGTCTACAGCATCGATAGTTTGCTGCGCATGCAGCTACAATCAGGTGGATTTTGCATGAACATGTGCTGATTTGTCCTTGCATGGGCCTGGCTTCCGATCACGGGCGGGGGCTGCTGAATCAATCACAACACCCCACTTGCGCACGCGTTGAGCCCACGATTGGTGCAACACGTTGGGGCACCAGGTTTGTCACCACTTTGAGACTGTGCACAACCATTCTCGGCGCCTGGGTCGTCTGCATTCACGGCATACACCCGAGGCTGTCCTGTACACTCAGGGCGCGCCACCTCGCGAGCTGCCACTTTTTGCTGGGCCGCGTCATCTCGTGCTCACGCCCTCTGTTTGACATCGTGCCCACGTAAATCACACCTAAAGGCTGAGATTCGGACAACAACACGCCGGCCCTGTTTGCCGCGCACAGGCCGCGCTCCTCCCACGATCTTGTAGAGTCTAGTGGCTGTCCGTCACCCCTTCGGTTGACAACAGCTCGCTCGGGTGTGGTTTGCACTGGCTTTCCATGACCTGCAGGAACTGCTACTTCTGTCGAGGTGTAACAACTCCTGCCTCACAGTCCGTGCACAATGGGCAAACATAGGGGATGGTCATCGCTTTTGGGGGCTGTCGAATCTGGGCACGCAGCTTCCCTCAAGTTTTATCATGTATGGGTGCAGCATGCTAGTTATACTGCATGTTTCCCCTGACCAAAATACAGGCCTGCTGCTGTTCATGACACAGAATTTACGGCTGAGCTCGGCCACTTGACCCTGCATGCGCCATTCCATTCCGAATGTGGGGGCAAGTAGAGGAACGGTCAAAGCAGCCGGTCAACGGTCCAGCAGGCAGCCACCCAAGCGCGGCCGGGACTGCCGCTAATGGCGAGTCTGGTACTTTGACGAATGCAAAGATTCCAGTTTTCCAGGGGTGAGCAGCATTTACAGCTGTCTGTGCTCGTCACCCGCCAGCGCCAGGGGCACCAGAGAGGACTGCATGACATGAGGCGACCAAGGGTGTGCGGCAGGCTGCCGTCTAGGCAAGTTCAATGCCAGCAGTGGCTGGCGACTGCAAGGTGATTTTTAAGGCGTGATTGTCTGAGGTAGGGTAATCAGGCGAGGTCCCGTGCGGACCAATTATCGGCTCAGCTACTAGGATGGGGGCCGGCAACAAGGAGAATGCGGAACGCATTCCTGAGTGGAAGCGCGTTTTGGGCCTCCTCAGGTGGGGCCACCGTCTACTGCATGACTGGTGCCGCTCAACAGCAACGCAGATGGCGCACTCAGCAGGGTGTGCGCTCTTGTGCTGCTTGCGCCGCTTCCACGTGAAGCAAATGCGGAAGAATTGAAGCTTCTGGTGTACATACAAGCACTCAAAACTTTCGCTTCAAAACCAGCAAGCATCACCATGCGCCGGCAGCATCAACATGGTGGAGGCTGCCTGCGTACGGACTGGCGGAAACAGCTGCAGCCAACACTTCAGAACCCAGCAAAATTCAACACACAAGCACATGCACAATGCACGCAAGTGTGCATGCAGACCAAATGCACACAACACACACACACACACACACACACACACACACACGCATGCACACGCACACGCACGCATGCCATGCCACAGTGGCTTTGTCGTCACGAACTACCTGGTGGTCGCCTTTGTGGTGGCCTTCACCATCGCCATGGCGTGGCCCCTGCCCGGCGCCAAGGTTCTGGAGCCGCAGGTGGTGGGCGTCCACATCATCACGTTCATCAACATCTGCATAGTGGTGGGTGCGGCTGGGCGGCACGCGCTCAGGCAGCCGCGTGACTGCGTAGCACGCCGCTGCGAGGGCTGGCGATTCCGGCTGGCTGCCAGAGCAGCGTGAATGTAGCGGACACCCATCATGCTTTGCATGGTGCGGGGCAGCTCCGCGACTCAGACCCTTGCAGTACTCTGCTGGGCCGCATCGCACAGCTGCCTCAAGCAGCCAACTGCCGCACACCTGGAGGTCACTCGGCATTCTCGAGAGCCCTGAACACCTGCGTGCTTGTCATGGAGCGGCGTGCAGGGTCCGCACACAGTCGGCCGCCAATGACGCGATAAAGTGCCCGACGCCTCTCCCCGCCCACTCCAGCCCCTCCTCCCTCCCCTGAAAACCCCCCACAGTTCTTCATCTCGGGCCTCACCCTGCGCACCGACGAGCTCAAGACCGCCCTCACGCGGCGCAACGCCCTCGGCACGACCTGGGGCTTCATATCCATCGTCGGCGTCACCCCCCTGCTGGCGTTTGCAGTGCGGGACCTGCCGTTCACACCCCCAGAGTACGCGACCGGCCTCGCGCTCTTCTGCATCGTCCCCACCACGCTGGGCGTCGGCGTGTCCCTCGTCACGAGCGCGAAGGTGCGGGGCCGCGCGACCGTGGCGCCTTGCCGCCGCGCGCCTTCCCATTGCAGGGTTCAGAGTTGGGCTGGGTTGGATGGCAACGTGCCGATTCCCTTCCTGCGCGTACGTGTGCACTGGGGCCACGTGTCGACACGCCTGCCACCGTCCCCGCCGCCGCTGCTGCTGCTGTTGCTACAGCCGGCTGATGGTTTTGGTTTGTCTCACAGTGCTGGACAAACTACAAATCCACTTGGGTCCCCGCTACATCCATCTCCAACTGCAGGGCAACGTAGCTCTGGCCATCCTCCTGACTGTCGCGTCCAATGTCCTGGGCGTCGTGGTCATCCCGGGGTGGCTGCAGGCCACGCTCAGGGTCGGCAAGGTGCGCAATGGCAGCGGTGTGGCCCAGCCGCAGCTCATGGTGCCGCGGCATCCAGGGCCGGGGTGCACCTCGACACACTTGCAAACGTCAAGTGCAACTTTTAACCGGCTGTGCGTCCAGGACCATACGCCTGAAGTGCTCTGCAGTGCTGCCTCGACAGACGCCCTTGGACCCCCTTGCTCCTGATGCGGCTCAGGGCGGCGTTGAGGACCTGCGCATCAATTTCGTCGACATTTTCGTGAAGCTGCTGCTCAGCTTCTTCGTCCCCACAGCCATCGGCAAGGGGCTGCGCGAGCTGGTGCGCGGCGGTTGCTGGGCCGTGGCACAGCCCTTTCCTTCACATTTTGCGCAACATTTTGGTGCTGATGTTTTTGTGGTCGTTGATACGCTTACCCATGCTCTTCGGCAGCGCTGACCCGGCCGTCCACCTTGCACGCGCCCCCCGCAGAGCCCGCCAGCCAGGCGTTTTGCCCAGGCGCACAAGCAGGCCCTCGGCATCATCAGCAACACCAACCTTGCGCTGCTGATCTGGCAGACACTCAGCAGCGCGCAGGAGATCATCGTCAACACGTCCTTCGGCACCAGTGAGCCCTCACACGCGCCCCCAGTTCGGCCCATGCTCGTTTCGCGTATAACTGCCTATTCATGACAAATTGCGCTCGAGCTCCTTTCAGTCTGGAATGAAACCCCGTTTTTCGCTCTGCAGGCAGTTGTGAAACTTGCCCGCGCATCCTCCCTAGCTGCAAGAACTGACGCCCGCCGCCCAACGACCGCCGCAGTGCTGTGTGTCATTGTTGGCACGTTCCTGGTGCACATCCTGTACCTGGTGTTCAACACCCTGGTGGTGCTGCTGCTGCGCCTGCCCGTTTCCGAGGCCGCATCAATTGTCATCATGGCTTCACAAAAGGTGGGGCTGCCGGCCTGTGTTGTCAGCGATCTCATACACACATACCCACACACACACACACACACACACACACACACACACACACTCGCCCCTGTAGTGCTGTTTGTGTGTTTTGTGTGTATGTGGATGTGTGCACGTGTGTTTTTCTTTCAGCAGCAAACACCTAGGCCAGGCCAATGTGACATTTTGTCAGTCTCCGCCACAACGGTCTTCGCCACAGCAGTTGCCTGCATCCGCGCCAGCCACAATTGGCGCCACCTCTCCCGTTCTTGAATGTCCTCCTGCGATCATCCCTCTGTCCCCTGTTCTCGCGCCGCAGAGTGCCCCTGTGGCTGTGACCGTGATCACCTACATTGCCAGCAACACACAGACACAGGGTCTGCTGGCCGTTCCCTGCGTCACCGGCCAGGTGCGGGCGCCGTGCTGCCGGGATCTGAGACGCCCCAGCCGGGCCGTCACTGTGCAGCCCGCGCCAACACCACCCCACTCGCAAGCGCTGCGGCCGGCTCGTTGGCGCAATGTTGCCCAGGCTAGCTGCGCTCCCTCCTCGCTGCAGTGGCCTGGATCTGCGTTCACCTCACACCAGCCATCATGGCCTTGATCACACCCCCATGAAAACGCAGCTCGTGCAAATCTTCGTGGGCCAGCCCCTGGCGAACTACTTGGCTGGTCGCATCCTGCGGGCGCGCCAGGAGCAGGAGGCGCAGCTGGCGCTGAAGGAGGAGCCGCAGGCGGGCGAGGCACCCACGGGGGCGTCCGACGGGTTGGTCGTGCTTGAGGGCGGCAAAGACGTCGAGGCGGGCGCCAAGTGACGCGGCGGCGCCCCGGTTACAGATACACGAGAGCCAGTGACGGCGGAGGCTGGACAGAGCATTGATGTGCGCGCCATGGCGCGCATGATGGCAACAAGATTTTAGACGAAGATGACGGCCAGCAACGATAAATGCACCATGAAGGCGCGGCGGCGGCGGCGATGCGATCTGCCGGCCAAGACGATGCTCAATGCCTGCCAGCCGCGCCCGATAGCCCCTTGGGCCCCGCTGCTGTTCTTCGGCGGGGCCCAAGCTTTTTGAATGTGACGTTTTGCACCTGCTTGGCAGCCGGCGCTTTTGCTCAAGGGTCGGGGTACTTTGCTGTGCACAGCTTGGGTCGATGCCAGCATTATTCACATTCACATGTTGATCTCTGTGCTGCTTGCCTCTATGTCGCCTTTACAAAAGGCCCCCTATAAAACATTTGCGTCTATTTACACAACTGTTTTGATCTGCATGGCTGCGTCGGCAACGTAAGCATGCATGCCAAGCGACGGGCTGGTCGGGGCGCCTTGCGCCACAAGGCACTGCGTGCAAGTGTGCTCATCTGCACAAACCATATCACTCCTTGCCGGCGAGCACACCACAAGAGGCAATGCCACCAACCCGGCCTGGCAAGGCGCGGCATCGAACTTAACGCAACCTGCTGGACGCACCATGGCACACCGCTGATGTAATTCGCATCTTCTCGGCCACGCGCCGCTGACGCCGGGTTCGTGCGTCAGCGGCGTACCAACCCGGTGGTGGGTGAGGTCGTAATTGATTGCGAGGAGAGTTTATGTTTGGCGATGCTGGACAAGTACAATCGGTTCTGGCATCACAACAAAAAGGTCAGCAACGCCGACTGCGTATCACAGCAGCCCAGGGCTAGGAGAAGAGGAAGGAGCAGCCATCCAAAGGGCCACACCACAAGGTGACATCAGGGATGCTTGCGCTTCTTGCCCCCATGCTCTACGCCCTGCCTGCCGCCGCGCCGCGCTCCGTTTCCGCTGCTGCCGCCGTCCTCGCCGCCGCCATCCTCCTCCATCAAGTCCACTGCAATGCAGCGCCCGTGGTATGCAGCAATTGAGCACCTTGTAGCAGCCGTGTCATGAGGTGCGGCTCGTTGTGCAGCAGGCAAGCACACTGCCACGCTGTGCGTCGCTGCACCAGCATCAAGCACACCAAACAGGGTGCCAGCAGCCGCAAGAGCACGTGTGCGTCTCACCGTCGTCGCCCTTGAGATTGTGCGCCGCAATGTATGCGTTTATGCCAGCCATGACCTGCTGCTTCATCGCCACGATGCCCTCTGAAACTTTGCCGCCTGCAGCGGGAGCGGCGCAGGGCCGGTTTGCTCGTCAGCCCCAAAAGACGAGCGCCCGTGTCGGTCTGATAGCACACTTGGGACGCATGTAGGCGTTTCATCCCGGATGCTGACATGAAAGCACTTTGGCAAGCAACCCTTCAATCCGGGCCTGGCCTTCGACACCCAAGGCGGCCTGCTGCCACGATGCAGCGGCGGGCGCACGTACGACTTGCCGCCACGCGCCTTGTTCTACACTGTGATTCACTTCAAACAGTACTTCTCCCTTGACGCTACACACGCCTTTGAGCATCCTGCCGCTTCAATTGATCTGGAGGGTGTGTTTTTGCAATCTTTTGCCGTCTCAATGGTTTTTGACGCCATTCGATCTGTCTCAATAACATCCTGGACGCGGTCATACTGATAAGAAAGTCGTTTCGGGCGGTAACGATCTTGCTGCGGGTGCTTGGATGGACTGGGGAGTGAGCAATGGTTGGGCCGAGGACGCCCTGGGCAGCTATCCTACGCTTCCCAAGTCCTTCACGAATGCCAAGACGGCCAAGAAGCGCAAGCACAAGGAGCTCTTTCTGACTGACGAGGCTTTGCTGAAGCCTGTGCGCCTGGGCCAGGCGGCGGCGGCGGCAGTGGCGGCTCCGGCCGTGGAGCATGCAGGTGCGCACATACTGCAGGCTGCAGAATGATGACACTTGCGTGGACGTGTTCGCACCATTAGTGTCCAACGCGTGAGGCCGTATGCAACTGCGACTGATCCGACAGCCCACACGCATAATGGCGCAGGAGGCGAGGCAGCCAATGGTCGCAAGAATCAGCAGCCCAAGGCAGCCGCGGTGTCTGACGGGCAGCACAGCAAGAAGCGCAAGAGTCGCAAAGACAAGGTAGTCGGTGCAGGTCCTGCAAAACAAGCGCAGACAGGGCAGCAGGAGCAGCAGCAACAACCGCAGCAGGAGCAGCAGGAGCAGCAGGAGCAACCCCAGCAGCAGCAGCAGCAGCAGCAGCAGCAGACAAAGGAGAAAAAGCAGCAGCAGAAGCAGCAGCAGAAGCAGCAGCAGAAGCCGCCGCCGCAGCAGCAGCAGCAGCAGCAGCAGCAGCAGCAGCAGCAGCAGCAGCAGCAGCAGCAGCAGCAGCAGCACAAGGAAGAGCAGCTGGAGAAGCAGCAGCGTTCGCAAAGGGAGGAGCCTGCAGGCGGCCAGCAACCTTCAACCAAGACCAAGGACAAGTCCAGAAAGGACAAGGGGGTGCCGACCAGCTTGACACAGGCTGTTGCAACAGCTTCCGCAGCTGGGGCGCAGGCAGCTGTGGAGCCCATGGCGGGCGTGGAGCCCTCCAAGAAGAAGAGCAAAAACAAGTTCAAGCCTAATGGACAAGGGGATCCAGTGGGGATGGCAAGTGCAGCGCAGCAGCAGCAGCCAGCGCAGCAGCAGCAGCAGCAGCAGCAGCAGCAGCAGCAGCAGCCAGCGCAGCAGCAGCCCGGTCAAAAGCAGCCTGCGCCGGACCAGGTCGTCGCGGACCGCCTGCACAAGAAGCAGAAGCAGCAGACTACCAAGCAGCAGCAGCAGCAGCAGCAGCAGCAGCAGCAGCAGCAGCAGCAGGCCCCTGCCAAGAAGCAGCAGAGACAGCAGGTGCCAGCCACCCAAGGCCAGCAGCCTGCCCAGCCGCAGCAGCCGCCTGCGGCCGCCCCGCGCCCCTCCAAGCTGCTGGAGAAGATGCGCGCCCGCCTGCGGGGCGGCCGTTTCCGGCAGCTGAACGAGGCCCTCTACACGCGCCCCGGGGACGAGGCCTTTGCCATGATGGGCGGCGAGCCGGGCCTGTTCCAGCAGTACCACGACGGCTTCCAGCGGCAGGTCAAGGGGTGGCCGACGCAGCCGGTGGACGCGGCGGCCGCGTGGGTGAGGGGGCTGCCGCAGGGCGCGGTGGTGGCGGACTTTGGGTGCGGCGACGCCAAGCTGGCGGCGAGCGTCAAGCAGGTGGGGCGCGTGGCGAGGGGCACGCGGCGCGCAAGGGGCTGCCGCGATGACAGGCAGGCGTAGTAGGGCCGAAGGGCGCGTGCACGTGGGGATGGCTGGCGCCGTTGGGGAGCCTGACGAGGCGCCCCTCCGTCCCCTGGCCTGTGCCTCGCTCCGCCGACGCCCGCCTTGGTGCTGCCCCTGCCGCCGGCCGCCGGCCCGCAGGAGGTGCACTCCCTCGACCTCGTCGCCACGGCGCCCGGCGTCATCGCCTGCAACATGGCGCGCACGCCGCTCGCCGCCGCCAGCTGCGACGCCGCCGTGTTTAGCCTGTCGCTGATGGGCACCGACTATGGGGCCTTCCTGGCAGAGGCGCACCGCGTGCTGAAGCCGGGCGGCTGGCTGTGGATCGCGGAGGTGCGCAGCCGCTTCGCGCGTGAGGGGGAGCAGGAGGACTTCAGGCCGTTTGTGGAGGCCCTGCGGAAGCTGGGGTTCAAGCTGTCTAAGCAGGACGTGTCGAACCGGATGTTTGTGACGATGCTGTTCCGCAAGAAGGGCGGCGGCGGCGAGGGCGGCGGCGGCGAGGGCGACGGCGGTGGCGCGGCAGGCATAAAGTGGCCGCCACTGCGTGCTTGCGTTTACAAGAAGCGATGAACAGGGCGAGGGGTGGCATCTGACTGGTTCTGCGGGCCCGCGTTTCTGCGCTGCCAGTGCTTGCAGCCAACTACCCTTACAACAATATCGCACCAGCCCCTGTGTGTGTTCAGCTCGTCCTGTTGCTCTTTGCGGGTGCATATCCTTTTTTGGTACCGCACATATGTGCGTTGACCCGTTCATCGCCGTTTCGATATATCGTTCCAACGCTCGACGAAGGCCTTTATGCTGCATTTCGAGGTTTGCACGTCTTGTAATCATTGCAATCTCTCCCATTGTGTACACCCTCAGCTGCAGCGGCAGGGATCAAGGAGTCGCCACAAGCAGCAAAGCAGCGCATCAAGCGCAAGGCACTGGATATGCAGCAGAGCAGCGGCGACCTCCTGGCCGCAAAGGAGGCAGAGTGTGCTTTGTTGCACTCCGAGATCAGGCGGCTGCGCACCCGTCTCAGCGCCGTGGATGTTCGCGCGGCAGCGGACAACGCCCCTGACCTCACTGCTGGCGGCGCCAACGGCATTCAGCAAGAGCAGCGGCGGCGGCGACTAATCGACAGCATGGATGCTGCCAAAAACAAGCCGACCGCCAACCTGGCAGAGCTGCAGGGGTGCGCACACTCTGCGTTCCTGCCCCCTAAAGTACTTCTCAAGATCCGTGGATGCTGGCGGGCCAGCTTACTTGCGAACCCTGTGCTTGCTGCGCGCTGCAACCGACGCTTGGGACACGCAAAAGCATTTACAGTAGGCTGCACGTCCCCCATCCATGCGCAATAGGGCTTTGGAGGCGCGTGACGCGCGCATCTGTGAGCTAGAACGTGAGCTTGATGCAGCGTGTGAATGTCACCGCCACCGAGAGGCGCAGCTGCAGGGCAGCTGCCAGTCAAAGCTGGAGGCAATGCGAGCCTTGCATATGCAGCAAACGGCTGCTAGCAGGAATAAAATTCAGGTGCGATAACAGAACTAGAGAGTTTCCACTTGTGTTGTCATGCAGGTCATATTTTGTGGTGGTGCAGCGAAACTCATGTCTATCACCTGTTGTGTCACAGGAGCGAGATGATGAACTAGGACGCTTGAAGCGGAAATTGGCGGCGCAGCAGCGCTTGAACCAACAACGGGAGCTTGAGTTGGAGCAACAACTGCAGCAGCAGCAGCAGGCACAGCAGAAGCTGCAACAGCAGCGGCAGGCGGCGCAGGACGAGGCCCAGGGCATGCTGGCCGGCATGGAGCAGCACCTGGCGCGGCTGAGCGGCGCGCTGCGGGCAAAAGACGAGGAGGTGGCCGCCCTCAGGCTCGCGCTGGCGGGGGCATGCGAGGAGCGGCGGCAGGCGCAGCTACAGCTGGCAGACCTCCGGTGCAGGCCGCCGCAACCGCTGCTTCAGGCCGGGTCGCAGCAGCAGCAGCAGCAGGGCTTGTTGCCCTCAGTGGTTGTTGCGAGCACGCAGCATGCCAACAGAGCACCGTCGCTCAACTCGTCAGCGCTTGCCGGCCGCCTACGACCACGGCGTTAGGCATCGCAGTAGTTGGGAAACGCTGTAATGATTCAGCTGTGATGATAGGGCCACTCTTGGCTAATTCAGACGCAGGGCAAGGGTTACTTGAGCGCCACGGGGCCCCCATCCCACACGATTGGCAGCAAAGCGTGCCGCGCGACAGCGCCGGCCCGAAGCTCCTTGAGCCAGGCGCCGTAGCCCTCTGCGTCTTCGTCGTGGAGCAGCTCCTTCCTGGGGTGTGCAGCGCATGCATAGCGGCGGGTAGCGGCCTAGTTTGGTTTAGGTTTCTCGTGCCAACAGCTGGGAATTTGGTCGAGCAGCCCACTAAACAGAGCACCCAGGCATGCAGCATGATTTATACCTGGACACGAGCTGAAAACAGCCGGTCGAGGCCGCCCCAGGCGGAACACAGTAGCTTCTGGTTCAGCAGTCCGCTGCCGCATGCAGATTTTTGCGCACTTCCACGGTCTGCTCGCGCCCTTCGGCATCTCACCTGAGGGAGGGGTCGCCCTTCACATCCAGCAACCGCGCCCCGTCTGCCATGTAGCTGATGGCTATGGCCAGCCGCGGCTCGCTGCGGCGCGGCTGCTGCCCCGCGCAGTGGAGCGTCCAGCCGTGGTGCCACGACACATCGCCCACCGCCATCGGGCCTGTGGGAGTTCCAAACATCATGCAAGACTGCGTTTGCTGATGCGTTAGAGGCATCGCGCCAACGACAAACCAACAAAGAAAGCTTTGACACCGATCCGTTTACACGCCCCTGCAACCCTGCCTGTGCCTCTTGCTCAAGCGGCTGCGGCCACTCCCTGCGCCTTCCATGCCCCATGTTCAGCCGCCCCCCCCCCCCTCCCCTGCGCCCAGCACTTCTCCACACGACCCCCGGCCAGGGCCCCCTCACCGGTGCCCTCTATCCGGTACCCCCGAGCCTCCAGGTCCCCCACCCCCTGGATGTTATGCCAGAAGGGCAGCGCAAAGTCGCGGTGGCTGCCGGCGGCAAACACCATGCCCGAGTCGTGCTCGTCGCCCTGAACGGCCCGCAGGGGCACCCAGGCGGTGACGTATGAGTTGGTGTCCAGTGGGGTCATGCGCAGCTGGGGCGGGGGGACGCACGTTGGGGGCCCGCATGGGGCAGCGAGAGTTTAGGAAGCTTGTGTGGCGTTGCAGTCTTTCAGGGATGTGGCGGGCGATCGGCTGGATGTTGGGGCGGGTCAGCAATGGACGGCGGATCATGCATTCCCATGCGCGAGTTTGCCCATGAGCAGCAGGCTGGCGGATACATATGCCCCCGCGCCGTGCTCACATCGCTGTGCCAGTTTGTGACGTCAAAGCCTGGCTCCTTGTAAAAGACTGTCCAAGGAAGAGCGGCGCGTACCGTGAGCGAGGAAGCAGCCACACTGCGACAAACAAAAACGCAGGACGAGCAAACGCAGCAGGCACACGCAAGCTGATGCAGGGGCCCCAAAGGCAGTGCAACATCGTGGCGCTTGTGGTGATGCCAGCACAGCCGCAGCTGACAGTTCCTCTTACTCGCTCACACCAGCTCCCGTACATGCCGGGCGCGGCGCCGTTGCGGCCGAGCCGCCGCATTGGCTCACCCGCGTCCTGGAACAGCCGCACCCGCCGCGCGCCCAGGAGCTGAGCCGCTACGCCCGCCAGCCGCGCCCCCGCCGCGGCGCGCAGCACGGCGGCGCTGGATCTGTGGAGGTGAAAGAACTGCAGGAACCCGAGGCGGTCGGTGCCGTCGCGCGCGATCAGGCGCAGCGCTTCCTCGCAGGTCCTGATGCTGTCAGGGTTGGCGCCGGGGCACAGCACCCGCACCCTGCGGGCAGGGTGTGGCGAGGGGGAATTGCGTATTTGTACATGCGCACCCGTGCATTTGTGAGCATGCGTAAGTGGGTGGGGGGGAGGAGGTGACCAAAAAGAACAGAGGCAACGCGGGAGTTGGCAGTTGTGCAGTGTGGAAAGCGTCGGCCGGCCCAACTCCTGAATGGCTTGTACAGCAGTGGCAACCGCTTGCAGGCGGCTCGCCTGTGCAAGCAGGCGGAGAGACATCCAGAAGACCGTCGTGGCATGCAGTCAAAAGTAGGGGTGCCTTGGCCTTGGTCGCTACGAGCTTACCGGTGCCGCAGGGCTGCGAGCTTCTGCTCGTCAATCACAGCCTCCACCTCTGGCCGCAGGGCCGCCACGTCAGAGGCTGGCAAACATCCACGCGTAACAATGTAGCCGTTGCGCTCCCACCTCAGCAACTGCGAATCGCTGAGGCGCAGCGGGCTGCCGCCCTCTGCGCCGCTGCTGCGCCGTTGCTGGCTGCTGCCGCTGGTCCCTGGAGCGAGTGTGCTTTGACCGCTGCGTGCTTGGTCGAGACGGCCGCTGCCGCTCGACGGCTGCTTTCCTCTCCGCTTTGCTGTGCCTGTTGTGCCAACACCACCATGACCCGGCCGTGCTTGGGGAGGCCCGCCGTGGGCAGCCACAGGCAAAAAAGCTCGGCGCCAGCCGCGGCCAAGCAGCTGCATGGTTCTGAGCGGACCTGGTGGCGCGCCCCGCTCGGCTGCTAAGCGTGAACACCTCTCTTTCATCGCAAGCCTCCGTGCAATTGCAAAGGGTACAATCAGGCGTCACCTATTACAGTCTCGTCTGGTTCCAGTAATACGGTGTCAATGCTGCAGATCGCAATCCAGTCAGGTAACGCAGTGCCATTGATGGTTTGAAACGCAAATTGAATGTTGTGGATCACGGATGTGAAGTGCACGCTCGCGGAGGACGTTTGCGCAGGTGCGTGTTTGCGCTTGCGCCGCCTGTGAGCAGGTTCCGAGCTGGACAGGTGATGGGCGCCGCCAGGCCCTGGAGCCCCAAGTGCGCCACAACTGCAGGTTGTCTGCTGGGGATTTCTATGCTAGAAATATGTTTCTTTGCTAGCTCCTGACCACCGTGGCACCAGCTGCTAGCTCCTGACCATCCTGACACGACCGCCCCAGAAGGAAATCCATCCAAAGACTGCCTTCTCACGACCAATCTGTTACACGTTGCAGCATATGCTGCAGACCCGATACGCAAGGTCACGAGGCATGCCCACCACATACCAGTCTGCAAGCAATCATAGTCATGGCGCACTTCCCTCATGCTGGCCCTTCCCTCGCCGCTGCCGCAAGCTCTCGCTGGCCGCCTCCCCGCCGCCGCCGCCGCCCCCAGCAGGCAGCAACACCTCCAAAACTTCCCTCTCATGTTGCTGCTTCTGCTGTTGTTCGGCAAAAGCTGCTGCCTGCTGCTCCTGCTGCTGCTGCTGCTGCTGCTGCTCTTGCTGTGGGTCAAACGGCACCGCCCCCAGCTCGCCCGGCGCCACTGACGCCTGCTCTAACACGCCAGACCCCTCCTCTTGCTCCTGCTCGATGCCCAGCGTCTGCTCCAGGTTTGACACCAGCTGCTTGAGCGACGTGTTCTCCGCGCGCAGCGCGGCGCTCTCCCGCGCCGCCTCGAGGGCGCGCTGCTGCGCCTCCTCCAGCTGCGCCTGGGCTCGCCTGCAGCGGCGCGGCGTGGCGGGCGCGCTGCTTTTCACGCGGCCCGCGACCTCAGGAAGCCACATCAACACCGAGGAGGTCTACAGTCGTGCAATTGAGACAAGGGCAACGGCGCTGATCACCCCAGCATGGAAGGCACTCAATCACAAATGGTTGTGATTCAAGCTGCCGGATGTCCAAGGCGACCCAACAGCCGCACACCTCAAGTCCTCCAGCAGCACGGGGTTGTCCGCAATGAGGGAGGTGGCCAGCTTGTCAAGCAGCGGCACCAGCGCCATGCCCGCGCTGCCCATCGCCGCCGCGGCCGCGCCCGCCATGTGGCCCGGCCGCGGAAGGGTGGGACGCGGCAGGAGCCTGGGGCCCGACGGGCGCATGCTCAGGTTGTTGGGCATGACAGCACCTGGTTCATACAATTGACAGAAGGCGGGAGAGGCTTGCAATGCCAAGGTCTTTGTGTCCCCTGCAGCATCTGTCAAGTCGAGCGTATCCCGACACCAAAACATGCGAACGTTTGTGGCAAGCACGTGCAGCAGGGCAAGGCAGCCAGGCAGCCAAGCCGCAACCACTGCGCAGTCATGTGTCTTGCAGCAGCTCGCAAACCAGACGAGGTGCCCCGCGGCGCACCGCGGCCCCCACCCCCCGGCGCCAGCGCACGTCGACCTACCTGCGCCGATGAAGGTGCCCTGCGGCACGAGCGCCCTGGACGGCATCATAGGCAGCGGCTGGGCGTCTGGGTCGTACTTCTCTATGAGTGCCTTGGTGCGCTCGTACGCAGACGCGTCCTGGGCCACGAGATGGGCAGGGGGCACGGTTTTCTGCTGCGGAGGTTGTCAAGGCTGTCGCCGCCTCAACCGTCCCTGCTGCCACCCTCCCCTCAACCTCCGGCCCATACTTTTTGCTCCCGCAAAGTCAATGCATCCGGCAGCCCCAGCAGCCCCAGCAGCCCCAGCAGCACCAGCAGCGCCAGCAGCACCGGCAGCACCAGCAGCACCAGCAGCGCCAGCGCCCTAGCAAGCCCCAACCCCCACCTTGAGTTCCTTTATCATCGCCCGCTTGGTGTCCTGGAGCGCCTTGATGCGCCGCGACACACGCTGGTCGAAAGTCCCCAGCAGCCACAGCAGCAGCCACTGCAGGGCGCTCGCGCCAGCAGGCAGCGCCACGGCGCTGGCGACGCGCTCAAAGTGCTCCCGGTAGGGGTATTGGCGCTGCTGTGTCTGCGGGCGCGCAACAGGTGCATGCGGGTGTGGGGTGGGTATGACGATCCACAAGATGCCAATTCTTGCCGGCAGCAGGAGCAGGCCTGCCAAGACTGCAACAAGGCTTCGCTGTCCCTGCGATGGTGCGGCTGATTTCATAGGCGGCCTGCCGGCAGCTGCTGACGCCCCTGGCATCCAATGTGGCGCAAGCACAGGAGTTTGCTGCAGGCGCTGCTGCACGGCAGCGGACGGGCACATCGCGATTTCTCTGCGCGCCTGGTAGATGAGGACGCACGCGGCCACCACCGCGCATACCACCAGCGTGGTCGACCACAGCCCGACCGCGGCGCGCCGCCGCTGCCGCTGCGACAGGCGCTCCTGTAGGGTCGGAGGGCGGGTCGCCGGCATCACGGAGCGAAACGCGTGCGGGCTGCGTGGCTGTCCTGCAAGCAGCCGCCATGTCACCGCTGCGCAACGCAGCCCCGATGTGATGAATGCCTTCTGCCCAGCTGCTGCTGGCGATCATCGGCCCCTTACGTGCATACACAGGTGCCGGCTGTACACCAGCCTGCCCCTCATAGCGACGCGCACCTGCAGGCGATGCAGGTCTGCCTCAATGCGCTGGAACGCCTTTTCATGGCTGGCGTAGTACCGATCGCCAAAGCGGCTCAGGCGAATGCCCATCGCTGTGGCCCGACGAGCACCTCGCGCCCTCGCCGCTTGCTGATTGTGACAGTCACAGCAGCGGCGCGCGGCGTGGCAGACCCTGAAACCGTGTGTCGGCTTGCACCAGCGCGTCGATTTTCTGCACAAGCTGGAAAAAATATTCGTCGCCTGATTGTTTTAGAGGGGGACGCAGGGAACGCAATCACCAGAGTGTTGCCCTACCGAACCCCGTGATCTGGTGGCTTCTCAGAGGTGGATCGTCGGTTTGGATCCGTTCATCTTCTAGTAAGCATTCCCTTGGATTGGATTGGGCCAGCGCTTGTCAACTGGATTCGGGACCCGTCATCATGACTCAGGATGCTGAGCGGTGGCTTGCCTGATGCACGACACACGCGAATCCATAAATTCATGCACGATCCTTTTTATCAGACCAAAATACATTTTGATCACCCGTTTCTTGCTGAAGCACACGCAATTCACAAGTAAATTCGTGACAGGCGAAGGTCACTCAGCCTGAAATCCACACATGAGAGAGGGCAAAGCATCCGCCATGCACCACACCGACACAGAGTCACCGCCACGCCGCCGCGGCGGTGACGCCGCCCGGATGCGGACAAACGCCACCGCCCCTGCAGGCACGCCGGCGCTCGTCCCCGAGGTGTTGCGCGAGCGCCAGCCCGCGCTTCCGTTCGCAATGCTCCGCACGCCCAGCGAAACGTCCGTCTCGCAAGCCAGCGCGGGCGTGGGCGCGCTGCGCGACACGGCCGAGCTGATAGAGGCAGCGTGCCAGCTGGCACCGCTGAGCGAGGAGGGTCGGCGACGAGTTGTGGAGCCGGCACTCCGGGCTGGAGAGGAGGCGCTGCTGAGCAGGCTGCGATTCAGGTTGGACGCCTGCGCTCGTGCGGCTGGTGACAAGAGTTGTGCCAGCACCAGGATCAGCAGGAGGCGGGGAGGCAGAAGCGGGCAGAGGGGCGCCCGCACACGCAGCGACACTCGGGGCTGCTGAAGCAAGGTAAGCAAAAGCAGCAGCAGGAGGCGCAGCAGGGGGCAGTGGCAGTGGTGAGTACCAGCGCATCGACCACGACGCCCAACCCAGGACACGCGGCCCCCGCACCCACCCCGTTCCCCCAGGTTTGACCGTGCCGGGCTCAAGATCCCCAGCACGAGGGTGACCTACAAGGGGCTCACCGTGGAGCGCGCCGCGGCTGTCGGCGCGTCCGTGCGTGTGCCCACGGTCGCGTCCGTGCTGCATGACGCGCTGCGGCGCGCAGCGGGCCGTGGGCGGGGCGGCAGTGTGCGCGCGCTGGACGGCGTTGCGGGGCTGCTGCGGTGAGCCTGGGAGGGGCTGGTCGCTTGGTGGCAGGGGCCCGCGATGATTGATGGGCTTTGTAACCTCACACAGCGCAGTCTCCGGGTTCAGTGAGACACTCAATACTATTTGTTTTCAGGACGGGTCTAAGGCCGCTGTGTTGAGAGGTCGCACAGAGGCAGGGCGCCCGCTCGACGCTGAAGGCTGCTTCCATGTGCGTCGTGCCTCCCCTGTCGTCGTGACAGGCCCGGCACGATGACGCTGCTGCTGGGGCCGCCTGGCAGCGGCAAGACCACCCTACTGCGGGCCCTCACCGGGCGCCTGCCGCCCGACCGCTACACACGTGTTGAGGTGCGGCGGGCAGCGCCTTTTGCGCATGCTCGCTCGCAAATCCATGAAGCTTGAGCGCTCGCATCAATGGTGGCAGCAGGGTTGCGAGGCGAGCTTGGTACAACACACCTGTTTGACGCAGAAGAGGGAATGATTGGTACCCAGTCTTGGCAGCGCTGGGATCGTGCTGACAACTGTTGTTGCCTCACACTCCCCAGGGGACTGTCCGGCACAACGGCCACGACACCACGACCTTTTCCGTAGTGCGCAGCAGCGCGTACGTAGGGCAGTCAGACCAACACCTGGCGGCGCTGACCGTGCGCGAGACCTTAAATTTCTCGGAGGCTTGCCTGGGGCCGAGCGAGGTGGCGGGGCGGCTGCTGCGGGGCGTGGCGGAGTGGGAGGCCGCGCACGGAGTTGAGAAGAGCGACGAGGACGAGAAGGTGGGCGGGCAGCATCAGCGGTTTGATGCACGAGGGCGCGTATTGGTGCACATCAGCCCAGCACGTGGGACATGCATCGCTGCCCAATTGTATTTGTTGGGTTTTGGCCCCTGCGATGGGTTTCTGGATGAGGTGTTTTCAGCCCATTTCGGCCCTGCATGTGTGACCCGCATCCACGCGCACGCGCACGTGCACACACACACACACACCTACACACAAACGCACACACACGCGCGCGCGCGCAATGCGCAGGCGGATTCTCTTATGGCACATTGGGTGGCGGGGCACCATGGTGTCATGACAGAATATATGCTGATGGTCCTGGGGCTGCAGCACGCGGGGGACACACTCGTGGGTGACGCCATGCTGAGAGGCATAAGGTGGGCGTGCGGGGTGGGTGCGTGGACGGTGGTGGGCTGCACGGGCGCGAAGGTCAAGGGGCCGCGGTAGTCGTGGCCTGTGGGAGACAGCCGCGGCAGCACACGGCGGCGGGGGGAGGGGGGGCAGACCCATTGACAGGGAGGGGGTCGCTCCTGGCGCTGCTGAGAGCAGTCGCTGCAGCGGTTGGGGCATGCTGGCAGCTGCAGCGGTTGGGGCATGCCGGCGGTGTGGCTTGACGCTGGCGGTGCTGTGCCCTTGTGAAGCTGCCTCTGTGCCCGCCCACCCTTTGCTGCTACCACCAACAACGCGTGCACACACACCACAGCCCCCTCCTCCATCGCACGCGCATGCACTGTCTCTGACACTCACGCACGCACACGTGCGTGCCGACGCGTCCTGCAGCGGCGGCGAGAAACGGCGCGTGACCGCGGGGGAGATGCTCGTGTCCAACGCGCAGGTCTTCTGCCTCGACGCCATCAGCAATGGTGCGCACACTTTATGGCCCCCCCCCACCCCAACTCACCCCTTGCGCTCACACCCCCTTCATGAGCATCATGCCCAAGAGCCAGCGCATGGCCAGCGTGAATCCTCTGTGAACACCCTTGCCTGGCAGGTGCTCGTTTTGCAGGAGTACCAACTGCTGGTGGCACCTGCTGCCATTTCAAGGAGCAAGAGTCTTTGAAAATGGGCTCTGTCGCCCATAATGTAGTTGGCCACATCATGCATACATGCGCCCCCTGAATGCGCTTCAGGCCTGGACAGCGCCGCCACGCTCGACATTGTGGCGTCGCTGCGCCGCACTGCGCGGCTCATCGACGCCACGGTTGCGGTGTCGCTGCTGCAGCCCGAGCCCGAGGTTGTGGCGCTGTTCGACGAGATCATAGTCCTGTCCGAGGGGCGCGTGATCTGGCACGGCCCAGCGAGCAAGGTACGTCGTGGGCGGGCCAGTGCGCAACCATGAGGCGCCTTCAGCATACTGCTAGGATGCTGATAGCTAGTTTGGGGGCGGGGGGTGGGGGGAGCGCGGGAGGGGTGCCACATCTGGCAAGCTGACATGCGAGGCACTCAACGGCTGGAGGCGACTGTGGGCCCCATCCCCACTCCGTTGAGACTGCTCCTCACGCCAACCATACTGCTTTACACCGCAGGCGCTGCTGCACTTTGCATCCCTGGGCTTCCAGTGCCCACCTGGGCTGGACGTGGCAGACTTCCTGTTGCTGGTGGCGTCTCCCCAAGACCACGCAATGCTAGCTGGGCCTGCCGGCGGCGGCGCTCCCATGGCGTACACCGGCGCGGCCATGCCTGCAGGGAGCGGCGCCATGTTCACCAGATCGGTGCCAAGCTTTGGCTGCGGCAAAGGTGGCGGCACAGAGCCGGGCGCTGTTGATTGGCGTGAGTGGACAGCAAAGGAGCTGAGCGACGCTTTCTGGGCCTCTGATGACGGGCACAGCCTGCAGGTGGGCTGAGAGGGGAGCCGCTGGCTCTGGTTGCGCCTTCTGGCCCCATTTTGTGCAATACGCTCAACTGTTGCTGCTGACGGACCCAACATGCGCAGCTTGACCGTGTAAGTCTCTCTTCCGCTTTCCCAGAGTTCTCACTTTAGCCCTCATCCAAGCAACCCCATTTCTCGTGTATGGGCGACTCCCCATGCTTACCCTGGGCACGTGCGCAGGCGGCCATCCACGCTGACATCAGCGTCCCACCCGAACAAGACCACACCCTCCTCTTCACAGCCAAGTACGGTGCCCCCTGGCACACCATGCTCGCCGCCTGCCTCCGCCGCGCCGTCACGCTTGAGTGGCGCCGCAACTGGCCGGCGCTGGTGGTGCGGTGGCTCATCTCCCTGGTCATTTCGGTTGTCGCGGGGTCCATCTTCTGGCAGCTTCCTGCGACCTTCCAGGGGGCCGTCTCGGCGATGGGCATGCTCTTCTGGTGGGCGTCCGCTTGGCGCTATTGGCTCACAGACGAGAAGACTCTTGTGGTCACGCGCAGCACAGAAATCCCTCCCACCTGCTGGTTTGCTGCTGAAGGCCTGCTTCCCAGGGCTCGCTCTAGGGTTTGCCCATCATTCTGAGCGGCGGATTGGTTCCAAGCTGCCGGCTGTACTGCCGGCGCCCCTCTCTCACATACACCATGCTGCCGTGGCTCCCGATGCAGGGTGCTGTGTTTTGTGCTGGTCGTGACGGTGCCGACAGTGGAGCTGACGTACAGCCGGCGCTCGCTGATGTTGCGGCAGCGGAGGGACAGGTTTTACGCGGGTTGGATGGAGGCGGTGCCGCAGGTGCGCTCAACATGCTGTCTGCGAGTTGCCCACAGGGCCAGCAGCAGCAGTTGCTGCTGCTTCACACGGAAGACTTGCAGCAGCCCAGCACCCTGCAGAGCGTTGGAGCCCCCCCTGCCTTGCAAATTTCAGCTCAGATGTTTGACTTAGGTTGACCGAGCTGGGTTCAACATGATTTCAACCGAGCACAGGTGCTGGTCAACCTGCCGGTCCTGGCGGTGGACGTGCTCGTCATGGGCATCCCGGTGTACTTCATGGTGGGGTTCACGCCCGCGTCGGGCCCCTTCCTCACGTTCCTGCTCATCATGCTGGCCCTTAACGTCGCGGTGGACAACTTCTACAGGTGATCTGGGTAGAACCCGCACTGCGCTTCGGATGATGGCGGGTGGCTGGTTTCACCGCCTGATGGGGGCGGGGCGGCCCAGGAAGGCTTTGTTGTTGATGGTGTCCGTGCACTGGGACGGACAGCTGCACCGGCAGCATGCAAACGCACCCAGCTTGAGTGCACCGCGCGTGTTACACGAGTTTAAGAGCCTTACAGCAGGGTGGCAGTACACGCAATCGCCTGACCCGCCCACGACGCGTGTGTGGAGGCCTCCTATTCACCCTCTTATCGCCGACGCCGCTCCGCGCACCTGCCCCTGCGTCAACGCCATGTTGCCTTGCAGGCTGCTGGGCGCCATCATGCCCAGCCTGCCAGTCGGCATAGCCATTGGCGTAACGATCCTCATCTCCTTTGAGCTGCTAGCAGGTGAGCGGGCGGCCGGGGGCTCGCCGGCCCGTCAGCCTTCGCCTCTGCTCGGGTGGCGGCACACAGCATGCGTGCAGCTGCTCATGCTTCCACTCCCTCTGATCAGCCAGAGAGCAGCCCGTCCTGTGCGCCGTGCTGGTGCTTTTCCCGCCCTGCCCTGTCCCAGGCTTTACTATATCACCCGCCAAGATCCCTCAGCCGTGGAAGCTGGTCTACTACCTCAACCCCCTCGCGCACGCCTACCGAGCCGCCGCGCTCAACGAGCTGCGCGCCCCGCGCTGGACCTCCCAGCCGGCGCCGGCAGCGGCCGCCTTCGCACCTGCGCCGGCTGCCGCCTCTGCCACCGGCGGCGGGCTGGACGGCGAGGCGGCCGCGGTGTCACAGGTGTCCCAGCAGTCCCTCAGCGAGGCGTTGATTGCCTTTTTTGAGCTGGAGCTGCCCGGGGACTGGGTTTGGCTGGGGATTGCCGTCCTGCTGGCGTGGTCGGCGCTGTATGTGGCGGGGGTGATGGTTGCCTACAGCCTGTTTAAGCCGCTTCCTACAAAGGCGGTGGTGGTGGAGGACGATGGGGAGCAGCGGGAAGGGCAGCAGGGCAAGGAACAGCAGCGTGCCCCAGGGGCCGACGCGGCAACGATGGCGGCGGCGGCGGCGCAAGGGAATGGGGGCGACGGTCTGGTGCTCGACGCCGCAGGTGTGCAGCACGGTAAATCGGCATCTCTTGTGCAGCAATGGGAAGGTGCTGGCGCTGGTCGCTGGGATGTTTTGGCTGTACCTACTTTACTGCCAATACGCGAGGCTCTCACTTCTCTCTTCCTCATCCCCCACCTCCCTGCCCTGCCCCTTGATCTCGCATCTCCGATCGCAGCGCTTCGGCGCAGAGCAATTGAGACGGCGCCCAGCGCCTCAACTCAGCAGCAGCGCCCCCTTGCTGCCGCCGCCACCGCCGATCGAGGCCCCAGCTTTGAGGC